ATATATATATATATATATATAAAATTATTAAATTAAATATTTCAATAAATGTAGTTTTAGTCTCTGGTGTGTAATGAGCATTATAGCCTCACAGCGCCACTGACAAAGCTCCACACTTTCATACTTTTAGTATTGTTGTTGTGTCGTTGTACTGCTCTGGCACTCTGCAAAGGATCAATAAAATTAATCTCATCTTGTCCTCAGGTTATAACAGTCCAGTGGGAACAGGTTAAACCACAAACACACATATACACGCGCACACACATACACTTTAATCTAGAGGTGTGAGTGTGTGGCTCAGAGTCAATGTAAATTCAAAGGACATGAATATGGATTTGTTGACAGAACTGCAAGACAGTGACTGTGTGTGTGTGTGTGTGTGTGTGTGTTACCGTGCAGAGCTCTGTAGGCCGACCCCAGGCAGGCAGAGTTGGACAGGTCGATGGTGTAAACCGGAGCGTTAAACACATCAGATAAAACCTGACAGACAGAAATAAGAATGAGTTTTTCTTCTTCTCTCTAAATCTGGTCCACACTCACACTTATTGCCTCCATTCATTAAGCAGACAAAACACAGTGCGGCGGGAACATTTAAAAATTAAAAAAAGAGAATCATTAGCAGCTCCTCGTTTGTATCCAGTAAATGAAGAGCCCACAGATGATACCCTGAGTACAGTGATGAATTCTACTTTCATATCTTTATCTGTTTTAACTGTTTGGTGCTTGGTGAGTCTTTAAACTTTTTATAGACAGTCATTTAAATATCACAGGACTGCTCAAAAGCTTTAAAGTACTAAACATAAATCATTACATTATTAATCCACTTTACATTAAACTTATTACATATGAATTATTTTTATATTTATCTAACATGTCCTGATTCTCACACTTCCTTCTGTGTGCTAAACCTCATTCAAATACCTCCAAAAAAGGCTAAATGTGATTTTTTTCTACAGTATTAGTAATTCTTTTCATGTATTTTGGTGTGAAAAAAAAGTTTCCATTGTAACTGACTGATGATTTAGTTACAGAGATACTTTAATTGTTAGTTTGAAGATAGTAGAAATAAAACCAGGTAACAGTGCAAGCACATAGAGAGAACAGAAGCTACCAAAATAAAAATAAAAATAAAAATAAATTAATAATTAAAAGACCTGATTAATTAAAATGTCATTACATTAATAAATACATAGGAGTGAGGGCTTTGTGTAAATAATACACAAATAAATGGAATGAAAAATATATAAATAAATTTGGAAAGAAATTAAAAGTAACTGAAAAACAAATCCAAAAACTAATCTATTAATAAATTGATAAATACACAAATAAATAAAAATGGATTGGAAATTTAAAAAAGATTTAAAGTACATACAAAAAATGCATGAATAAATTATTTAACTAAAAAAATTAATAACAATAAATACATTAATTAATATGTCATTTAACAAATGACTAAATAGGGGAAAATGCAAAGAAAAAACACAAATATGCAAATAAATTTAAAGCCCCTACAAGGAACTTTCATTTTGAGTTGATTTTGGCGACCCTGTGGACAAAAGCGGTAGTGTTTTGCCGGAATGAAGCCTACATTTCTCATGAGCTCTAGCGCGTATTGTTGTAAAGACGCTTACCTGGCTCGAGCATGTGTTTGTTTTAAGGGTTGAATGAAACAACAAGATGGGAAAACTTGCCGCCGGGGTAAACGCAGCAGTCGGCTGGTAAGGCTGAAGGCCTGTTTGGAGAGCACTCCCACAGCTTCTTGGACTGAGTATAAAGCGGTGCCTCACCTCTTTATTTCTCGGCACTCGCTGGACCCTGTCGACGCCTGGCTGGTACCTGTCGTCGGCCCAGATGAGGTGTTCCAGCCCCGCGGCCCCTGCTCTTCTCATCCCCGCTGTTGCGGGGTTAATCTGCGCAACCCGCGGCCTCTGTGTGTGGCTCCCCGGACAGCTAACGCCGTGGACCCGCCGGCTCCTGCCAGGATTGGGCTGGTAAATGCTAGATCGCTAGCGAACAAAACGTTTATCCTGAAGGATTTCCTGACTTCCCAAGGATTGGATTTTCTCTGTGTGACTGAGACGTGGCTGACTGTTGGTGAGTCCAGTGCTTTCACAGAACTTTTACCCGATGATTGCTGCTATTTTAACTCCCCGCAGACATCGGGTCGAGGAGGAGTAGTCTCGCCACCAGACAATCAGAGATCTCCGCCTTCTGATAGTCTGGGGACACTCCTTTCTAAAGTGTGTTTAACACACCAGTGAAAACGGCCAGCAACAACGCAACGCCTCTTGCATTTTTGAAAAGGACACGCCTTCTCGGAAATGTGCGCTCCCCCTTTTCTCGTCCACAAGGAAACAAACACACACAGAGCTTGAAAATGGATGCCGAGAGATTTAACTCCGTTTTATCAAACGTGTGCTCATCCGTGAAGAAAATATTTTTCCCAGCGGATGTCTTAGTTACAACATGACTGAGCTAACTGGAGTAGTTTCATGTCGTATCCGACAACAGGAGGCTTTTAACAGATGACGTCCTGATGTTAGCTTTGCGGCTAGTGTTAGCTGTCCCTGTCAGCTGCAGCCACTGGTGCTTTCTAGACATTCCCAAAACGGAATAAATACCACACATAGCTACACAAAACTGCTTTGCTAGCTCAACCATGTTATAACTAAGATATCTGCTGGAAAAAAAAAAAATTTCAGGGACCGTTTAATGAGTTACCTATTACAGACACCACTAACGGCTAAGAAATAGTAATGTTTGTTCAAACATTGTGTTTATAGACTTTACAAACATTGGATTAGTCTAAACGGTGATACAGTGATGTGAAAAATGTGA